TTCTATCAACCCTTCTATCCCTATGAATGAGATAGGCGGGTGGTGATTCAGCTGCAAATGGTGCTGCATGCCTCGAGGATGGTCCGAAATAAAATCCTTAGCTGTAAGCTGCCCAAGAAACCTAGGCCTCCCATCCCTCTTGGGTCGAATGATTGGAATCAGACTTGCCCGGGAGGATAAGAACTCTAACCCTAATACAGAATGAATCACGCAATCCATCGGGTAGCCTAAATCGCATTCAAAATGTTACCACGATTCTGAATGCAAAATGGAATGCGTGGCGCATCACAATAAGGGGCCGATCAATGCCGAATGACCTATCCTTAACGCTTTAGCAGCAAATCGAGTTACATAGGTAGAAAAAAGGTAGGAGAGGTACAGTAATACAGCCAAAAACGATTCTAGTACGTCTCAAAATTTTTCTGTGAAAAATTTCTACCAAGACCAGCACAGGTAATACCTTCAAACTGGTTTTCTGCAATAACACAAAATGGCCATGTGAAAAAAATAAATAACCTGATAAATAGCTGTTCAGTAAACACGCAAGTATTCTATCAGATGACGAGAATCTACGATGAAATCGATACGGAAACGTTTTGAATGAGCCGGCACACAGCACAAATGAGTACACTTGGTGATAAGATATGGTACAGACGCATGACATTTTGTTCAACGAGGGTTGTGTCTGGCGCTGTGATCACGTTGGCCAACCCAATGGGACAAATCAGGGAGCATAGTGTAGGTAAAATAACTCCCACTGCATTGTTCGAAGAACAGCAACATCACGTAGAACACAGTGGTCGAACAGTTCAGCCACTGGGTGATCAGTTAGCTAATGAAATCACTAACAGAGAATTGACCGGTCCTTTTATGGATTGCGCCACACGTTCTACTACCACTCGAATTCGTAGTGACCTTAAAGCGCGAGTTATCCAATGCAATGTCATACAGGGTCCAGACGATGTACGACTCAAAGTATGTATTATGCCAAAGGCTTCCGGTGAAATTTTGCTGACCACTGGAGAAAAATCGCTTGATAAGTCCAATCGGCATTGGGACCTGGGAGTAGGAGCGCGACAAGCGGCACCTCTTGCCCCACCTGCATACATACATCTCGGCATGGCGTTAACGAGGAATCGAGAAAAAAATTGCTAGCCCTCGGAGCCAGAAGTTTGGCGTGATAGTCGGCTCCTTCACCTTTGATATTTTGGTCCCATGTCTCCACCAAATTCGTCATGTTATCTTGTGGTGGCCATTTGATGAGAGCAGTTACCGACTGGTCCTTCGAGATTTCAAACGAACTCGAAACACCCTCCACTCCAATAGTCGCACTTCGTCACGGAAACTCTTCACAAAATATAAGGGGTAGTATGCATAGCGAGGTAGAGGTGGCCAATCCACCTAGAGAATATAAAAATTTGGGCTACAGTTCTAGTGCTCTATGTGGTTATCAAAATTTCGATTCTAGACCCTACGCCCTCGCAGGTTGCGTTTGGCCTCAAGTGTGAGTCCTCTCCATCAAAATCATTCAAAATCGGCGAACCCTTTCTGATTCATAAAAGGACCCACGTCGCTGACAGTAATGGATAATAGGTAAGGATTGTACCAGTAACGCACCGGCAAAAATCTGAGAGTATGGATATAACTCGCTCATCTTTTTATTGCCAATGCAGGATTTCTCGTGAAAATACAGTCTCGTATTGAAATTTCCCAACTATAAAGCCACACAGATTGATAAGGCCTCCCAAAAGTGCTTACTTACATGTGTATAGATATCCAGCACAAGTCACAATCAAAGAATTCGTGAGCAAGAATCACTTCGGAACACTAGATTTCTGGATTTACAGTTCCTCTTTCAAACTTCCGAATTTCTGGAATGATTTGCTTCTTAAATAATTGCTGAATACCATGCTGCAAGTATAAAGCGCTAATTGGCTGTGATGGAAACGAATGTAGAGATTTTAGAAACATATTGAGACCGTAAAGATGTAGCACTTTTGAGCTGAATCATTCATCAAAATCTATCTTATCTGAACTGATAAAATTCGGAAATCGATCTCGGCATTTTTAGCATCTGCGAAAAATTTAAGCTGGAGCTTTTCTTCATGGATTAAACATTGTGATAATTTGTGCCTGGTCGATACTTAGTTTTCTACCGAAAAATGAGGCATATCAAATTTTTGAGGCATCTGCTGCGAGCAAGTTTAACCAAGGTAGCAAATCCCTTGATAGGGTTGTTTTTTGAATTAGCACTTGTGAGTCGGGAGAGTATCTCGCGACTCCTGCGCTCAGGGACCTCTCCTTCCCATGCATGCAGGGACTGGCTTTTGGCACGTACTCCTGACCCGTAGCTTCGAGGATTTCGTTTGATAGGTCCACACAAGAAAGTATTATATATAATAAAATGTGCATATATTATACTAGAATCCTACTTACTATATCCTACTTACTATAAAGTATCGCGGTCTGGCGGTGTCGTTGGTCGTGTCGTGTGTCGTCTCTCGTTCGTGTCTGTCACGAAATTCCCTAGCTCCTCGGGATCCACCTGGAGGGACCGGGTCAAGTGTGGGATGGGTGGGCAGGGTCTCACGTAATACAAAACACACATCAGCTAAGCGGAGCCCCGCCCACAGAGGGCGTGGCGTGCGTCGAAATGAATTGTACCGAAGACCAAGATTTCGATTTCAGTGACAAAACGACCTCGAAACTGGGCCAAAAAGTGGGTAAAGGTGTGCATTGGTAAGTCACATCGAATTAGGAGACCCACCCCCGGTGGGCGGGGCGTTCTCCAAAAAAGCAGTGCTTTATGAAAAATTTCATAACTCGGTTGGGAGAAAGCCTACAGAGCAGAAAACAATTTGGTGTAAGGGAGCAATGTCTAAGGTGTTTCCTGCATACATGACGTGGGCGGAGGCCCGCCCAGAATGGGCGGGGCGCGCTCTGAAGTGTACAGCATTTTCTACAAGCCCTCATAATTCGGGTCGGGGAAGTCCTAAAGAGCCGGAAAAAGGTGGATAGAGGTGTATGGAGGAGTGGAGGCCAGCTATCAATGGTGGGCGGGGCTTGACCAAAGTGGGCGGAGTTTGCGACGAAAATTTATAACTCGGCTCCATGAAGCTCCGGAGGCTGGGGAAAAGGTGGATAGAGGTGGGTGGAGGAGTGGAGGTTAACTGTCATGGAGGCGGGGCTTGACCAAAGTGGGCGGAGTTTGCGACGAAAATAAAACTCGGCTCCAACAAGTCCCGGAGGCCGGGAGAAAGGGAGTAGAGGCCTATTAGTGGGCGGAGCACGCACATAAGTGGGCGGAGTTTGCCAAAAGTGTCGTAATTTGGTTCCAAGAGGTCCCAGAGACCGGTGAAAAAAGGGTAGAGGTCGGCGAAAGGAAGGGGCCAAATGCTATTGGTGGGCGGGGCACGCACCGAAGTAGGCGGAGTTTGCCACGAGATTTATTGTCCGGAAGCAGTCCGGAGACCGAGAAAAAGAGGATAATGGTTGACGAAGAAAAAAAGGTTGAAAGCCGTCGATGATGGAGCGGATTGAATTTAGCTGAGGAATTCAGATATTCGTAGTGTATCAAGCCAAATAATTAAAAATTTTCGTCGCACCATCAAAATTCGCCGCAGATCTGTGTTGCGCGCGCAATGCGTGCGGCGCCAACTGGTTATAATATATTTTACAAGGAACAAAAATTGACTGAGATCTCATACTTTTGCATTCCCAGATTTCATATGGTTCAAAAATAACCATCGATACCGGTGCGCTCATGATAATTTTAACCACTCCGTGCTCTATTTGTAGCAGGCCACATGTACGACATCTCCTCACGAGGAAATGCTCAATTGGTCAGTCCGGCCATTTGTAATGAGGTGTAGTCCGCTATACTCGTCTTGCGACGCTGAGCTCAAATCCGTTCTCGGTATCTGCGGAACGATTCTCTGAAAGAAGTTACGAGGGATTCTTCTCACTGTGGCTTTCTCACTATGGCGCCCTCTACATCCTCGCATCCCGCTTGCCACGCTCACGTTGAGCCGGTGAGGAGTTCTGGATGTGGTACTGGTGGTGCAGTGGATAGCACGTTTGCTTCATATTGATGAGGTCAGATGTTCAAATTCACTTACGCATGGCAACTTTGCATTTTTCCAGGGCTCCTCATTCTTCTTCTTCTTACCAGCGTCAGGCCCAGGTTGACAGGCCGGCTGATGAAGACCCCAGTCACACAAACATGTCTAAAGTCGAAAAAGAATCAGTGATAAAGCTAGGACGTCACCCGGAAGTGGCGCGCAGAACCCCCGCCCGAGTTCTGTGGTCAGTATGCGAGGGCTACCGAGGAGTGAACGGCCTCGGCCAAAGAAGCTAGTTCGAATTGGACTCTGAACGTAGGATCGCTAACTGGGAAGTCCCGAGAGGTTGCTGATCTGATGACGCGCAGGAATATCCAAGTCCTGTGCCTTCAGGAGACGCGATGGAAAGGCGCTAAGGCCAGAAAGGAGAAACGCGAAATTCAAGCCTCTACTACAATGAAGAGCAAGACAACCCAAGACAGACGGCGTAAGCTCAATAGCCAGGCGACACAAGGCCATAGCGGTAGCGGAGTCGCTCAAGGACTATGTCTCTCCTGTGAACAGGATCAGCGATCGGATCATGGCTGTGAGGATAGACACGAAGGAGGGGTACTGGACCATACTCTCCGTGTACGCACCGCAAGCCGGGTGCCCCGAAAGTGATAAGGACGAGTTCTATCTGAGCCTGGACGAAGCCATAAGATCGGTTCCGAAAGGTGATTACCTGACCGTGGCAGGTGACCTGAATGGTCACATCGGTAGTGACAGAAGAGGCTTAGAAAGAGTGCACGGAGGTAGAGGGATAGGAACGAGGAACGCTGAGGGAGAGAGGGTTCTGGACCTGGCTACAGCCCACGATCTGGCAGTCTGCAGCACGTTCTTCGCGAAAAGGAAGACTCAGAAGGTAACCTACAGCAGCGGAGGGAGACAGACGGAAATCGACCATGTGCTGGTAAGAAGATCAACCCTCAAAACTGTGAAGGATATCAAAGTTCTACCCGGCGAAGATCTGGCTCCCCAGCACAGGCCCCTCCTGGCAGACATTGCGATAGACCTCCCCAAGAAGACAAGGGTAAGAACCGAAAGGAGAATCCGGTGGTGGAAGCTGCACCAAGCGGAGAAGGATGACCTCAGGCGAAAGATAATGGAAGTCGGTCTCCCAGATCCAAACGGGCCAATACAGCGGACTTGGGGCAGCGCGGCTGATACCATCCTGCGATGTGCCAAGGAGGTCCTGGGCGAGACGCGAGGTGGATTCAGAGGAGACAAGGCAGCGTGGTTCTGGAACGAGGAGGTCCAGCGAGTCGTGAAGCAGAAGAAGGAAGCATACAAGCGCTGGCAGAAGACCCGGAGCCCCGAAGACCTCGCTACCTACAAGAGTTGCAAGAGGCTCGCTAAGGCTGCTGTCGCCAAGGCGAAGAACACGGAAATGGACGCCTTGTACGAGAAGTTGGAAAGCAGAAACGCAGAGAAGTTCGTCTTCAGGCTGGCTAAGGCCCGGCATCGTGCTACTCAAGACATCAGGGTGGTGAAAAGTGTAAAAGGCAGCGATGGTGTCATCCTAAGAAAGCCAGCCGAAGTCAAGAGGAGGTGGGAAGAGTACTTCACGGGGCTTCTGAACGAGGAGTTCCCCCACAAGAACGACTCACGGGCAGAGGCCACAGCTGGTCCCATCGCACTCTGGACTAAGGATGAGGTTAGGTGTGCACTTGGGAGGATGAAGGTTGGAAAGGCGGTTGGCCCAGATGGGGTGCCAATCGAGGCATGGAAGGCGCTCGGAGAGTACGGCATAAGGCCTCACACGATTCCTCAACAACATAACTGCGGAAGGAAGGATGCCAGATGCCTGGAGAACAAGTACTATCGTCCCCATCTTCAAGCAGAAGGGTGACGCGATGGACTGCTCCAACTACCGCGGGATCAAGTTGACTGCTCATACAATGAAGCTGTACGAGCGACTGGTCGACTCGAGACTGCGGGAGCTGGTCCCCATCTCCCAGGAACAGTTCGGGTTCATGCCCGAAAGGTCTACGACGGATGCCATCTTCATCGCAAGACAAGTGATGGAGAAGTATCGAGAAAAGCGCCGACCCTGCTACCTAGCCTTCCTCGACTTGGAGAAGGCGTTCGACCGGCTACCACGAGCGGTACTGTGGAGAGCGCTTAGAGAACGGAACGTGCCAGAACACCTGGTCTCGCTGGGAAGGAATCTAATAATCTAATCTCAAAGAACAACCACCGATCTTTTTTCAGAGTAGGGCGAAGTAAGGGAAAAATCATATAGATTCACCGAGCAACGTAGAAGTTTGCAAGCACATAGAAGAGAAATGCTGGGTATTTTCAAATGACATGAAGCATTAGATAAGCAACCGTACAGAAATATGCAAGGGAAAAATGTGCTTAGGGTCGGCATGGGAATTCCCGTGGTTTTTTAAGCCATCAAGTCGCCGAAATTCAAAACCGGTTTCACATTTCAGCCACTACACTGGAGCGTGTACGCTATACAAGGTGCTCTCGGACCGGACAAAATCGCTCGGTAGTTAGTTGTGGTAAACAATACAGAGAAGTACTAGTAATAGCTGAGAGCGATGTGTTAGCAAGACCAGTAGAAGTTAAAATATGTAGAAAAGAACACTCTATTCACAGCGGGAAGCCTTTTGCTACATGTGAATGAAAAGGAAGGATAGAAAGCGAATAAATGCCAGAGTAAGTGCACCAATAAAAAGAAAAAAGTCGAAAGTAGTGGGTATAACGGTAGGTAACAATCAGCTAGCGCGTCATTGGTCAGAAAATAATCGATAGGGTAGCTATCCCTGGTCAATGCGCACTGAGCAGACATCTCCCCTACACCCGCCCCATGTTACATATGAAAAAGATCCAGTGTTTCGGTGACATTGAAAAGGACATCGGTGAAGTTTTGATCAAACCCTTCTCGCAATGTGCCACGCATTCTCATCTATTCAGAATTGTAGTGGCATTCCAGTGGTTTTGGCCTACATTTTTATCAGTTCGAAAGCGGAAGCACGTTAGTGCTTTTCACGTCCCATGCAAGTTTGGTACATAATAACCGTACACAGAATGATGGAAGGCGCGGTTGATCCCGGGCGAGATTTGATCCTGGACTTGCCCGCGAACCGTACGCATGGTAAACCGCGCCAACTGCCACTAAGCCACCACTCGGTAATCTGACTGGTACTAATGCAGCACATGTTTTCGATTATTGTATTACTTTCACATGAAATAAGTACACTTAAACCGCTATGAAATGGCAAGAATGCACTAGGCAGTGAGAGAGACTTTTTAAAACGATGGCACTCCAGCGTAGAGCGCATGTTGCAACAGTGTACTGGGTTGTTTACTTTGCCTTATCGATTGCGTAAACAATGAGTTGAACATGACGAAAGGATGAATCATAAACGGTGAGCGGCTAATTCGTCGCGTTTTTTTCTTCGGTCAGGTTCCGATCGATGTGTTTCAGTGCCAGCGATGGAAACCACATCGCTTTCGACCGTCACAAAAGTTCTGTATTGCTCTGTACTCTATTTTGCATATGGGAGCAAATTTAATCCAATCTGCCGGAAAAAAAGCAAATTCAAGTCTTTCTGGTGTATCTGATTGTGAATTGAAGTGAATCCACTGGTAATTGGCATTTCATGATCCACAATCGATCCGTTGTGATTTTACGAATTCATACACACAACTGATCAAATTCTCCTAGTATGTTATTCCAGTATTGCGATGGATTGTATGGAACTAGCGCCCATCTGAAGATTTCGTGCTCTAATCCACATTTCGCATTCCGCCTCCGGCGTTTTATTTACAAAATGTTAAACAAATCCACTTTGTCAACCTATATGTACCGTCGATTTGGATCTTAATCATATTGCTAATGTTCCACTTCATGAACTGAAGTCTGTGCGCCGTTTGTTGCTCTCTGCAACCAGGATTTCTAGGTCTCTTTCCATACCCGCCACCAGCGATGGACGACGAGGCCGACGTCATCCCTGTTCGTGGCAATGATGACGTTCAGGTGACTACTAATATATTTTAATTGTGAAACAATACCTGGCTCTATACAAGTACGGTGGACACGCTCAACTTCTCACGCATGTCAAGTGACTGCCCTCACCCTCTCTTGTGTATGATTGGTGGACGGAACAACTGTCCAATCACAACCTTGTCTCGCACGCGTATCGACCTTTCAACTTATTCAACAGTTGTAAGTGGTGACCAACTCGAGGCACGGTTAGTCAATTTAGTGGACATAGAAATATTGATGTAACATTAGCCTCCACAGCGCTTGATTCAAACGTAACTGCAGTTGCGTCTTATAATCTTTTTACCAACATAGAGCAGTGTGTTTACCATAATGATAACCATTTCAGGGGTATCCCTCACGTCGAGCGCGACGTGATCATGACATTGAATGGTGGAGAAAATTTGGCTACGGTATGTCTTGCATCGTGTTGCTGGTTACGTTTATGATTTTCGCGTTTTTTCCAGGAGTTGGCCATTTCTACAATGACCTGTGTGCAAGTATGTGGTTCACTTATCTCATGATTTATCTCGAGAAAGTTCTTAAATTCCGTAGTTCTCGGGCTGGAATGTTGATGTTAATCGGCCAGGTAAGTTGAAGATGGATATGCTGGTTCTCAAGCCTTCGTTTATGACCCACTGGTCTTCTCCATGTAATATCTCTCAAGATGTCTATAGCCATGCTTCAAACCACAATTGCCCTTCTCCAACTACTTTTGGAATCTCGATGTAGTTTCTCCTGCAATGGAGCACGCTCTTTTTCTAAATGGCTAAACGCCGTGCTCTCCGTTTGCACCTTCGGAACAAAGCTTTCCAGAAAAAGTACTTGTGTCTCGTGATTCCCCTTCTAGGAGATCCCTTTTCCAACGGTAGAGTCAAAAGTTCATTTGATCAAGTCCGGTGAGGGATCGCATTTTTGCTGTAGGGATCAGCAGTGCCAGCTGTAAATATCAGCTTGGAACCAAGTTCAGCGGCGCTACTATCGAGACCACTTATTGTTAGAGGGGTGTGCAGGGGTAGGGTCATATGTCTGAAATCGGCCACGACCCTCGGTTGGTGCTGTTCTACCTTTTCGCTCAACTTCCTTCGTTGGCATGCTTACCCTGATTATATGCAAATACCTCAAAAATCAGTGCATTTTGCGACTGTTCCGTTTTCGAGTCTTTCCCTCTATGATTTTGTGAGCTCGTCTCCAATGTGTCTGTATCATCGTTTCCAATAATTCTTATCATTTTTGTAGGTTACCGATGCCATTTCAACTCCCCTTGTTGGGATCGCTAGCGACTCCAACGTATTACCAAGATGTTTTGATAAAATTGGTCGACGAATCTCTTGGCACATGATAGGCACGTTTGTTTCATTAACTTCCTTTTGATGTGGCCAGACTGAATGAAGGCGCTACAGCAAGATACGGGGCATGTTATAGAAGTAAGCCAAGGAGGGAGCAGGAGCTCAGGGGAAAATGGAAATTGCTCACAGCTCGGAATCTCTCTCCCGCCTAAGGATCAGTCTCGTTTCCATCAAAAAAGGAGATGTTTCATTGGATTGGCACGGCATCGCCACCGCAATGTCCCTGTCTCTTACGATAACACCCTAGAAATAACTCCGTAGCCTTTCTACTAAGGAGTGAGGCTGCTAAAACAAAGAGTGGTGTTGATTAGATAATTTAAGGTACATTGTGTGTGACATTGTCCTTTCCGTTCATCTTTAACCGTTGTTTTGTGTGCTCTGATACTAGTTCTGAATGGTACAAAGTACTATGGTTCATACCATTTATTATGCTATTTCAATTCGGCTGGGCATCGGTTCAGGTTAGAATTACTCCCTTGTTTCTTATGTGTTTCCTTAACAAACCTTTTAGATCTCACATCTAGCATTAATCCCTGAGTTGTCCTCAATCGATAGTAGCCGAACTACGATGAATTCTTTAAGGTGATTTTTTAGTGTTTTTTCCCTTATGAAACATTATCGCAGCTTTTTTGAAGATACTCTTTCACTGTCATCGCGAACTTGTCGGTATTTATGGTATTAGCCTGGTTCCTTTCTCAGAGCACTGACCATTCTCAGATTGGCCCATACGATTTCACTCATTTCCAGGTTAGTTTGCATTACCCGCTACCTCGGGAACCCTGTTCATCTATCCGACAACCAGTAATTGTCATTCCTATTCAGACTGCTGGCTTTATTGTTGTGGGTAGTGGATTGCTAGTAACCCTGCTATTCTATGCTGTGGTTCGTGAACCAAAACATGGTCGAAGACTGAGGTGAGGATATAGCTAAGCCCTGCTGGATTCCTTCATCCTGCTTCATGTTCTTCTGCTTTCAGTCGTGTGAACTCGATCTCGTCTGATGCGAGTGAGTTGATTAGGATGCATTGGACGAGCTGGTTCGGTTACATACAATTTTACCAGGTGCGAAAATGAAGTTTAACGCTTTACATCGCATTATTGACCATGGCCCCTTTTTCAGATTGCCTTGCTCTACATGTTATCCCGTTTGTGTATAAATGTCTCTCAAGTTTACTTTCCATTTTACATTACACTGACTCAGGATTACCCTAAGGTATGTTAGTGCTTATTTGGCGCAAAATGTGAGCTTAAGTTTCTCAAAAATGTAGTAGCATTTTTTTGTCGAAATATATGTTCCTGTACCTACAGTTTCCGCCTTTCTTACTTATATCTGAATTGCGCGGCTGAAGACTCCGCAGGTGGAACGGAGAGGACCTAAGTAAGGAGCAAGCATTTTCAGAAGTACGTGGCGATATTCCCAATGGTCTCTTACCTTTGTTCATTTGTGGTATCGACTGTGAACGGACTACCATGTTTGAATACGTTGATCAATAGGAAGGTATGTTCCCTTGTCTGTTTATATGGGCCGGTCAAGCCGATACGTTCGGCCATATTCTTGTTCTTTCGGACGTTTAATGTCTATTTGAAAATTCTCGGTGTCGCTCTGGTGATCCTAACAGTTTGCCTGGGGGCGAGCCCTGCAAGCATACTTTTCCAAAAGGCTCTTTTTTTAAGGGACGTTCTTCAGTGGAATAGCATTCGTCCATTGTCTTTCCGCAGCTCATTGGCTGGCTTTCACAAAGATTGTTGCCATTTTCGATGAAGTATTCCTTTTGTTCCAGTTCCTATTCCTTCTTGGAGTGTTAAGCGGCTTGGGAACATGTGTTTGGATGCTCTTCGAATTGCCTCTCTGGCAGATGTACTCTGTAGCGGGACTTATGGGTAATTTATGAACGCATTTTCATTTTAATATACTTTTCATGCTGTGCATTGTGGACTGAAAGACTTTCTCTCCGCTTGTGCAGCACGTCGCGCTCAGAGGCATAGCTGCAGTAATACAATATTTTGGTTTTGAAAGTAACTAAGTTGCTTGCGTTTACAAAGAATGTCCTGTTTTCTTCGAGAAAGGGTTGGCGCATAGCTACACTGGATTCTTTTAAGGCAAGTGAGTAACCAAAATCTTTCAACAGAACGGGTTTGAATTCATTTGAGAAAGTGCAACTCCGGCCTCTTGTTTTGCGCATCTTCCTTTATTTACCTTAAGAAGTAACGCTCTACGATAACTTTTCGTTGAACAATGGAAGGGGATTACAACACATCTTAGTTCAATTAAAGTATCTATTTGATAGTCTCCGTCAACTATGCGCTAAAGACTTAAGCTTATTGAGTGAAAGGCGATAAACGTGAGTGTGTTGTCGTTAGTTCTGCCTTTGGCTTCATAGAAATTGCATATACAGAAGCTAACAGTAAGATCTGTTCTGTTGTAGGTGTCACGCAGTCGATACTTCTCGTAACCTCACTATCCATCACTGCTGATCTGATCAATAGAAACACAGTAAGCAGACTTCATTTAAAATCTGCGTATCCTAGCGTAAGCAGTCAAAGTGTCGCATAATTTCTCTCCAGGAAAGCGGTGCGTTCGTGTACGGTGCAATGAGTTTCGTTGACAAACTCGCAAATGGTGTTGCCTACCAAATCATCGAACTTTGGAATCCATCGTGCGAGTAAGTGCTCACTTTCCATTGAAGAGGGAGGAAGCACAGCGATTTTGATTATTCAAAGTTCTCTTGTGTACGGCTCTGTTCAGTCCGACGCAACCGCATCGTGCTTGCAAAATCTTCTACCGGACGATTATGGTGTACGTCCCTGCTGGATGTCTCATAGCAGCACTCGTGGTCCTTTTGTCACTAATACCATCGCAAATTGGCCGTAGAAGAAGAGCGCAAAGTGAGTAATTTCTTTACCCTCATTTTCGGGCTCGCAGATTGCCAATTTGCGAGCAATTAATTTTTTTGCATGTTCTAAGACGTCGTGTTACGCTTCTTTTGTTAAATAAGAGGAATCCTGTACCTTGCTGCCAGAAAATAGCACTGACTTTTACCGCTGCCCTTAGTTCAGTTCTTCCCATTCCTTCTTGATGACATTCTCCCCATCTTCTTTTAGCCCTTCATGGCTTATGGTATCTGCAAAAGCCTTGTGAGCACCGACGATGCTGGCGCTGCGCCGTCCTTCGATAAATTATTGCCGTTGGAAATGAATGTTTAGCAGTGGAAAATTAAAAGTCAAGAGGAACGGCTTAGCTTTCGATGAGGCCTCTTGCTTTCTCTTTCCATGCCAGATAAGAGTCAAGGATTGCTGATATCATCAGCTAATCGCTCTGGGTACCCGACAGGAGACCCGTCGCGCGGGAGAAAGTCATGTCAGCGGACGAGTCGCACGTGTGATGTGCGATGTAGGACGTGCGTGGTACCGTCTATTAGATGACGCAAAATCGCTTTGTTTCTTTTTGCTAGAAGGAGAAAATCCCAGGCAGCAAGAGTCTAGCTGCTAGGACAGCCTTATGAAGGTGAGAATTGCTTCGCAAAAGAATTCTAGGCTGCTAAGGATGCGTCTCCTAGCCGCCAAAGTGTTACATCTGTTTCCTTTGGTTCCTTGGCCTTCAATACTAGACTGTTTGCCTTCTTTCTTGGAACTCCAAATCGTCGTACCACCTGTCTTCAAGGAGTGCGAGGTGAGGTGCCAACGGTCGACGGACTACTTGAACTCAGCCCTTTAAACCGCCTATGCGCTCTCCTCTCTAAGGCTTAGTCGTAGAGCATTCACCCGTTCTCTTTGTCTGTGCTATCGCCAACAATCCCTTCCTGATACGCTTAAGTCAACCTCTCCTCTCTAAGGTTCCACATTGCTATATCTTTGTTATTTTTTTCAATAATTTATTCACGTTATCTTTATTATCCATTCGGCTTTTCTCCTTTCTACGTTAAACTATTTTTTCCAAATAATTGTCGCAGTTTCACCGTTTTAAGGCCCGGACGAGGTTGCTATTATGGACGACGATGGGCTCGTCGAGGAGGCGGAGCAGTGATTCGTTCTTCTTGAACAATGCACTCTGTAAATGTTTTCTTCTTGTTTATTATTATTGCTTTTGTTTGATGTTTAGCTCAATTGAGCTGTTAGTTAAATTGCTTGACCATTTTTGACCGGAGTTGACTTCCAGATCTGTAATAGGTGTATGGCACACATTCTACCCTAGGTGGACCTACCTCAACTCCAAAATGCTAAGAGTTGATAAGTTTACTACCTGTAATATTTGCTTTTCTTCAATAGAATATACATATTCGTTATATTTATATTAAGTTGTTCCTTAATACGCAATACTGTACCATATTTATAGCGCTGGTGTTTCGTACTGGTTAGTTGTGCATTATAAGTGGTGTACACGGTGAAGCAACTGCGATACAGTGTCCACCGGAGTATTTCGCGGTTGTGGTTTATTTGTTTGTAAATAAAACGTTTGTTTTATCTACATTATCGTTCAATCTGATGATGTAGTGCCGAGGTTTATAAACGCCGACTGCGCTTTAGCGATCGAGACTGTGCTCGCTAAGCAAGCCCGTGGGATCACACATAGTAGCGGTCAAAAGTGTTCACCTAAACGCTTTTTCTCGTGGCTTTCATTTCTTGCTTTCAGAGAAAGATCTAAAGATTAGTTTGAAGCTTTTCTTTCAAATATCTAAACTCTTCAAGAGTCAAGGGTTTGGAGGCTTTGAAGGGCATGTCTTATTACTATTTGAAGGACACTGTTGTGAGAATAATACTGCACTAAAAACGTTTCGGCGAATACTTTCGACTGCAGCTGTGTATTTTGACAGTGACACTGGTCACACTTGTGCTCCCTGTCGTCGCATTGTGCAGCAAACTCCTTGAGCCGTTCGGGGCTGAACAAAGTAGGGAAGGCATTCTGGAGCAGGTGAGGAGCAGGTTTTACGGACAACTTTAACTCTGTCCATTGAACCACCTCAATTTGATGCTCTCGTCCGCGCGTTCCTGCTTAAACAGTGGCTCATGATTACTGTGATCTCAAACAGACGAACCTTTGATACACTCCTACTTGCTCCCTCTCTCCGGGGTTCCTTCCACCTTTTGGAGCTTAGTCTTCAGGTTTTCACCTCACTTTTGGGATAGAAGGCGAGCCAGGTCAGTTTTCCATTTTCTGTGCTCTAGCCATTCGCGCCAGAGAACATGGTGGAAATCTCAAGTAGTCAAGTAATCGAGAAAGCTCTACTGTGCAGAACTAGGTTTTCTTCTCTGTGCCTGGTCGTGGAGCGCGTTATCGTCAACAAGGGCGTCGCAGGAAGGAGTACACACATTTGAAGTAAATGGTTGAAGCAAAGTTATACAGCAGTGTTAATTTTTCATTCTATGCTAGACCAAGTAATAATTAAGGATGAATGGCAGGAGATTAGCTATCGTCTGTTTCTGTTTGAGAAGCTCCTTTTTTTTCGAAGTCTGAAATTAGACTCATTCAAAAACCAGATGCATCAGGCTTCAGGCTTACTCAAGCTTTGAACTTACATTTGATGAGTGTCTCGACCTTTCCTTTTTCTACATCGCCCATTGAAAGTTCGGTACCATCATTGCCTTTGACAACGTTTTCAGCTTCAACGTACGAGCTGACGTCGCTGGAACTCGCTGCCCCACTCAGGTCGTCTATGACGACTTGGCTGAATTCATTATCCCAATTAGCTGAAATATGTCAAGCTTATTGCGGTGCTCCACTGATGCTCATGCTGCGGGCTGACAAGGAATGGCCAATTGGTCAGTCCGGCCATTCGAAATGAAATGTATACCTACATACGTGACTAGAGAAGCCGAGTTCAAATCTACCTCGGTGATTTGCAGAGCGATTTCCTGAAATAAGCTATGAAGCAGCAAGGGTGGATGGTAATGATCTTGCTTCACAGGTAAGAGTTCGTAAGATCGACTTCAGCGCGAGCCAGCACTTTTGCTCCTTTTAAACACATTGCGCACACCAGTGGAGAGTAAAAGTATGGACTCGCATTGGAATCGTTCCCACGACCTCTTGCCTGGGAGTCAAGGTCACTACCACTGCACTTTCCTGCTTGATAACTTTTCAGTAAATCGTAGATAAAGGAAGTAGATTTGGATTAAGCGTCTCGAGGCACTTATATGAATATTCATTTCATTTCAAGAAGCCGAATTAAACAGTTGACCTTTCTGACCGTGTCAGGCCTGCAACAAACTCGATGCTACGAAACCCTGCAGTGAACTCAATGTCACTCACAAGACGTCAGAGGTTTCAAGGGACTTTCCTCTAACTGCAGTAAGTCCCTCTTAAGGTGAGTTTCTTCTCGTCCTCCTGCAGGGGTTAGCATAGTGTGGGCAGCACTGCATCGGCAGGTAGGGCAGTGTAACGATTGTTGCCGAAGGACATGGCGGGAGAGTCTTCAGAAAACCTCGTCGTCTATTGTAAAATGAACCTTACCATGGAGGAAGAGTTTTTATACGTTCACCGATATCACCTAAATGTTTACTTCCGAGATAACACAAGCAAGTCATTCATTTTGGATGATTCGTGAGCTAAGTCGGTAAGTCCTTCTTCCTTTCGCAAATCTCAGCAGGAAAAGCATCGTCTGGACTTTTTATGGCCTGGTGAGGTAGTGTTGGTACTCCTTGTCATGTCATAACATTGTTCTCCACTACTGCACCGACATCCATGTTGCATTGCGGGCGACTTCCTGCACTGTTAGAAGTTGACTCTGGTGGCCGCCCTTTCCGGGTTCCATTTGCCAGTTTTTTGGGGCCGAAAAAAATCTCCACAAGTTAGACGTTGTTCCATTACTCAGTTAGAACAATTCTGATTATTAGCGGCTCAAAAAGGATAATATGATCATTCTGAGGAAGATGTGATTCTGCCCGTCCTAGGCTTAGACCTGAAAAAAAGATG